AATCAAGTCGCCTCTAGTTCTGCGATAAGACAACGGGAAAAGGTTCAGCTTGGCCAATCGAGATTCATACGGAAGCTTCGCTATTCCGGGAATCAGCTTCGTTGCCGTTCTCTCAACCTTTTCCAGGAGCTCACTGTCTTTTTTCAAGCAGGGGCTAGCCGCTTGTATGCAGTACTCAAGTTTAGGACGAACGAACACTGTATACACAGTCAAAAACGTTTTAGCGTCGACATGACTAAAAGCTCTACGCATTGACCATAACGTTCTAAAACCATTGGCGGCTATTGCACGGCAGTGTGCAGTAGTCTTTAAGTCTTGACTAACGATAACTCCTAAGTCGTTATATGTCTGGACGACAGGTAGCTCAGTGTTATTCATCGTGTGTGTATCTGTACCTTGATGACCGATATGCATCACAACACACTTGGAAGTATTTATCGGCAACTGCCATGTTTGAGACCATTCAGATAACTTCTTCAGGTCATTTTGAAGTTCTAAGCTATCACTCTTACATCGTATCGTTCTCCATATCTTGACATCGTCAGCATACAGCAAGACCGATGATGATAGGAGACAAGAAAGGTCATTTACATGCAAAAGGAATAGCACTGGCCCCAAAACTGTGCCCTGGGGCACTCCACTAAGCAGTTTCCCAGCTAGATAACTTTGAGTTCACCTGAACTCTTTGTTGGCGCCCAACTAAGAAGTCTTTTATCCACATCAATAGATTGCCTCCAATCCCGACTTTTCTTAACTTACATAACAGCCGGTTGTGCGGAACCTCGTCAAAAGCTTTGCTGAAATCAATGAAGGCTACGTCTACAGGTAACTTTTGGTCGTTAAGAGCACACCAGCTTTCACGAGCCACTAATAAGTTAGTGAGACAAGAGTAACCTATTCTGAAACCGTGCTGCTTCTTCGAAAGGATCCGGTTTTTATCGAGATACTTAAACAGCTCCTTCCGAATAATCTTTTCTCAGATTTTAACAACCACACTAGTTAGGCTAACGGGGCGGTAGTTCTCAGGTTTGTGTTTTCTACCTGTTTTGAAGACAGGATTTACTATGGCGGTTTTCCAGTCTTTTGGTAAACGACCCTGCGTAACAGATAGGTTAAAGCATATACTTAAAAGGCTTGCAACGAAGTTAGATAATTCCTTCAGCAGCCTGGGATCTAATTCATCGGGCCCCGCGGATTTATAGTGGCATTGGACAATAGCCACACAATCCACAAAGCTGTGAACACGAGACTACTCAGAAAATAGATGTTCAATATTTAACGCGGAGAAATACCTAACGATGGAGAAGGCGCGAACAAGGAGTTGAACGGATTGGAGTTTATTGAATGGCATGGCTCGGCCATGCAGGCGTGGTTCTTGTGTAATATTACCTTATATCTTTTATTCATATTAAATATATTGTTCTTTCTCTAGCCTAACCTTGTTCTTCATCATGTATTGGTAGTTGTTACGATACAATGAGTTGGTGTAGACGATGATGTGACTTCCACGTAAGATCTTATAGATTAGGCAGTTATGTCATGACAAATCTACAATTTTAGGATTAGGTCTGTTATTAGAGCAGTACTAATATCATAGTAGACCATAATTCTACAGATTTACCTATGTCGAGCTTATTTAGTAGACCAAAGACATCGAGTTCCTTAATGGTCACGCTATCCAGTGTATGTGTGGGGGGATCTGTATGCACTGATGGGAAGGGTGCTTCTATGGTGTATACATTGCTAAAGTAATTTGAGAACACTTGAGCCTTACCAAAGCCGTCCCCCACCAGTGACGCGGCAGTACTGTCTCCCCATAAAGCAGGAATATTTCCTTTTCTCCTTGTCCTTTGGTTTATATAGGAATACAAGCGTTTGGGACATTCTATGGATTCATTAACAAGTTTTCCTTCGTACAACTTTCTAGACTTACGGAGGGTCTAGGCACAAGTATTCCGAACTTTTCTATACTGGGATTTAGTTTCATCAGTCCCCAGTAATCTAAATCTATCCCAAATTTTTCATCTCTTACGGAGAAGGATGCGGACCTCCCTACTGAACCATGGCGGGGAGTTTTTCGGCCTCCTTGATATGATCCAAGGGATGTGGGGTGTGGTAACTTTTAAGTATGAATTTCGAAATGCGTCCCAGGCCGTTTCAACTGAGGGCTCTTTGTCTATTGTCCAATCTACTAACGATGCTGAGTGCATGATGTCTGGTATATTTGCTTTCCAGACGTTGGGTCTGGACTGGACTGACGCGTGCTCGTGACTGGCAGTTATATGGAAGTCGAAAGTTAAAACTGCGTGGTCACTTTTACCTAGGGGTGGCATATGATGGAGGTTCGCAACATCATCCTCATAGTGAGTCAGTATAAGATCTAATAAGGATGATTCAGTGTCCGGATCGTACCTTGTCGCTTCTTTCACATGTTGCACTAGAGAACATGTGATAACCCCATCAACTAGTTCCTGCTCGAAAGAATTCTCCGACGATTTAGTTCGCAGATTTTCCCAGTCTACCATAGGTGCATTGAAGTCCCCTAGGATTAGACATTGACCACTTTGGTACCAAGTATTGAGACTGCTTAACAGGATCTCATTTACCTCACAGCTTGGACTGCGATAGACCAAACCAATCAGCAGCTCTTGTCCCTTGCATTTCAAGCGGCAACTAACTAATTCATACGTCTCACTCTCATGGGATACACCATCGATAATGACAAATGGGATAGCATTCCTAATGAATAGAGGTACTCCCCCCCTTTGCGCTTTTGTGTTCTGTCGGCCCTTACTAACGTGAAACCCTCGAAATCAAGTTCCATACTATCTATAGCCTGTGTCAGCCTGGTTTCTGTTACTGAGATTATGTCTGGCTTTGTAGAGTCAATCTGCACACCTAGTTCCGATCGCTTATTAAGTAAGCTTCGTGCATTGGTGTAACAGATCCGAAGCCTATTTAAGTGGCTTCGGCATCATTCTCTGTCGAAGCCTTACAACCCGAAAATTTACAATTTTTAGATCCTTTTCGCCAGCGTCTAACCTAAGTTGTAGTTCTTTCTCGGCTTCCCGTCTTTTTACACGGTCTGCCAACGGTAGGTCATTTCGGATAAAGACTCCTGAACCCTTTAATCTGTGTCTATTCTGTAAAATCAGGTTACGTTCGTTCGAAGAGTTGAATACTACTTTAAGCAGTCTGGAATGATTTGGTTTCAAGTCCGTTAGATTCCCTAGTCTGTACACCTTTAGCAAGGTGACCCCGGTGATATTTTGAGGCATGAGTTGATTAAGCAGCTGCCTAATCAGTACAATGTCACGTTCAAAACGAGCTTTAGGTTCATAGCTCGCGCTCTCCTTGATTCTATGAAAAATAGCTGATCTGTCGCTATGATCAGCTCTCGATTTTTCAGCTAATTTTTCGGGGACAGGGTTCCCTTTTATATCCCTACTTTTCTTCCTTACAACCTGTACCCATTCGTCAACGGTGCTGGTAGAAGCAATAACAGCTGCGTCAAACCAAGTGCTGGATTTTATGGGGTTGCCGACTACCTGAGAGGTCGGGTTATGTTTACCGCTTGAAACCGATCGAGCCTTGCGATTGCGGCTTCTAGGTGTTTCCTGTTGGGTCCCATCTGGGAGACGGGGAACAGAAGACCCTACTTTTCTTGAGCTTTTCTTTAAGGCAGGCCACTTTTCCTTCTTTGACGGGCGTGAGTCATCTATCATCGAACTAACCTTAGTTTCCTTCACGTTGATTGGCGTGTTGACAGATCGAGTGCTGTTCGACATGTTCCGACTATGCTTGCTAAAATACTTCTTTGCAGCATCAACTAGTGAGATGGCCTCGGTTAACAAGCTGTTTACACCCGAGCAGCACCGTTGACAAAGCCATACACAACCCTTCTTACTGAACCGTTTGAAAGCAGCATGCGTTAAGTTCGTGCAAACTTCGTGGTACCAGCCTTTGAACTCGTCGCACTGCACGCCGCTTTCGACAGGATAACGACAACCCGGACGTTGGCAACTGCTTTTTTTACACTGTCCGGTCATTTAGGAGGGGTTCTTTTTCAAGATGCGATGATACTCAGAAACAAAAAAAATAATCAATGACCAAAAAAGTGAAGAGCTGTAGATTGCTAGGACCAAAAGTACTAACAGATACAGTTGAAAAAGAGATACTCAAGAGTACCAACGACAAAAATAAATTGAGAGAACAGTAAAAACGATACTCTAGTCGGATACTTTAACTGGTAAATTCAATTAAAGTGAAAACAGTAATCTTGATACGTAATGAACGATCAAAACAATGAAATTTACTCAGCGAGGAAAAATACCACTGTCCTTTTTAAATAGCGCGCGTCTTTGTTTTGCTCGAGCAACGAGAACTAAAAAGCCAATGAGAGTTGGGCTTTGAGCACCTTCTATATGCAGTGGGGATTAATCGGGTGCACATCTTATGGAACCACTTATTACACTCATTACACTGCATCTCTTCCTCCACGGGGAATAAGCAATACGGTTGTCCACACTTATGAGCAGAGCTGGCCAGCTTGAAAATCAACTACAATAGTGACACAAATACGATATGTAAAAGAATTCGCAAACCTTAAATAAATAAATCAAGTAAAAGTCGACCAAGTATGCTTCGATGCAATAAATACACAAAAGCGAAATCGAAACACTCAATAGAATATCACTTTAACTGGAGTAGATGTAGTTAAAGTGTAAACAGTAGTTTTGATGCGTAATTTACGATCAAAACAGTTAATTAACTCAACGAGAAACAGTACCACTGGTTTTTTTTAGATAGCGCGCTTGAATTACCGGAATTCTCTACCGGAACACGTAGTATCAGTATCTCCTGCCAATGTATTCGAAACGAGATTGGAACTCTACAGTGTAACAAACTGCAAGGATTAATATAGGTCTATAGACCTCCTATCTTTATTACTGAAGACTGGATCTAACGCGGTCTGTTTCACCGGAACGTTACACTACCATATGGCCAAAAGACGGGCCGATATTGAGTTGAATCAAGATAACTGGGATGATGATTTAAGGGCTACTACTAAGGGAAACTTTGATAAAGCAGACAAGGACATTATTTCACAAAGAAAAATTTTGACAGCACGTACTAACAGAACATCTGTAAGCCTTCCATTATGTAATTATCTACTTCTCATAAGAGTGGAACGTCTGGACTATTTAAATCATTTACCGCTTTTTCTGACTGCTCAAGTGGAAACCCAGTATCATTCGATTTTGGACTCAAACATTCAAGTGTTAAAGAAAATGGCCATAAGGATGAAGAGACTGAGTATCTTGAACACCTACAAATTCTCAATCAGAGCTTACTCGATTGGATTACAAAACACATTAAAGAAGACCCATTTTGTATTCTCAGCCCGATATTCTCCGATTACGACAAACATTTATCGGGAATCAACTCTAAATTTCCCAAACAATCATTAGTAGGTGCGGTTTCACTGCCGGAGAAAAAAGAAGCCAGCAGTCACTTAATTGCCAAAACATCTGAAGTTATTGAGACTCCGGTCAAGAGTGCACCAAATCCCGTTTTCTTTTTCGGCAATTCCATACCAAAACCCACACCTATATCTTCTGGCTCTTTGACTGATTCTACAGATAAGAAACCTATATTTTCATTTGGGTTGCCGCCTATCACGACAACTAGTACTAATTTCACTCAGTCGCTTTTTCAGTTTCCCAGCGTCTCTAGTTTCTCACAAAAACCTGTGAATCTCGATCCTAAACAGAACACTAGTAATCAACAAGGGGATGATGACGGTATGCTACCTTTTCAAACTAAATCCTGTTTTAGACGAGGAATATATTCCTCCCAAACCAGAGGTTAAAGATTTCAAAGAAGATGGGTCAGTTTTCACTACAAGGTTCGTTTCTCTTTAACATTCAATTGAGTGTCTGTACGATTTATGTGTATTTATTTATTATTTGAACACAAATATTGGTACAAAGGGGCACTGAAATACGTATGCGCCATACAAGTCACTTGGTTTGTGTGTGGACTGTGTTACTGCTCCGGGTGCCCAAATTGAAGCAAGTGGATTTTTTAGGGGGCCACACCCGAAGTCTTCGACTTAAAGGTCTGATCCACAAGGCAGTGGAGCAACGTCAGGAGATGGAGTCCCGTGGTAGCTGGTGACCAACGATTGATTCATACGCCATTTGTTCTCCCAGGGTCCTGGAGCTCATGTGCATCATTGGTTTATGATCGGGGCTCTCTAACTCCATCTGCGTCCACCGACCCTGTTAAAGCGCCGGACATTCGCTTTTTGTCTTGTCAATTTCTTAAATAACACCCCCACCACGAGGCGGTGAGTAGGACTCTAGAATAAAGCATGAAGTTATCTTGAGTAGGTAGGGATGGCCTATTATCACAGTCTGTATTATTATTGAGATTCAGTCTAAACCTAAAAATATACAAAGATGCTAGTGACATCTACTAAATGATCCTGCGTTCTCAGAATTTGATGGGAGTTTCGAGTATCCAAAATAACTGGTCCATGCATTAATGTCCTTACTATATCCTACCTGTTAATCGGTCTTCGTAAAATCAAACTGCTGAAACATGACATAGGAACTGTTCCAATTATTTGTTGTTAATATGAAATTCTTCTAAAATAGTAGAAAAAGGTCAAATTTATATATTTAATTCTTGTAGTGACTAAAGGGCTTACGCCCCAAGTTTTTTCATCGTGTCTTATTCGGACTCATGTAGTTGCTTCATTCCTAACATAATCAGATTTGTGCAGTAAGGACAGAAGACCCATGGCCTATGCTATTCGTTTTCTAGTATGCTTCTGTGTTAATTAAAGGTGAAGACACCACTGCTTCGGGTAATAGGTTCCAAAAATTAATGACTCGGTACGAAAACATGTTTGCCATGAGTACTTTGTTCGTTCTTGGCTTTTCTACTCGCTTGCTATGTCCTCTGAGTTAATAGGAAGAAAAAGAAAACACATCGGGTCCAAAACCGTTTCTTAGTATTTTATACATCAGTCACATATGGATAATAATTGTGTTAATGTCATTTTGACCATGATTCTATGAATTATAGTCTATTAGTATCCCTTATATTCGTATATTCTCCTTACATATTCATAGGTGTAAATTATTCTACAAAGCGGATAATGAGTGGAAAGAGCGTGGACTTGGAAATTTATTCATCAAACCAACGACAAACGATAAATTTCAATTACTCATCCGAGCTGATACTAATCTCGGTAAGGTGCATAGAGATTTGAAATAATGCAGATGCATTACTGTATTTCACCCCAGGATTGATGGTAGACTTTCCAATTAAAATTTATGCAATACTTCAGGTTCAATTCAATCAGTAATCTAGATTCGAAGAGTGCTCCTATTAAGACTTTAGTATCGTTAACTCCAAGTACTTTTACGTTTTATCATACGTTCTTGCACCATGCTAATAATTTCGTTACTTCGACTTCATTATCGTAAACAAAACTACTCATATGCTCTTCTTTTTCCCTGTCCCATTAATTAGAGTGAAATACCAGTTTTTTAGATGAAGCTATTTGATGTTGACCCAATGTAATCAGTCAAAATATATGAAATTTGTCGGTTATGTATCAATCAAAAGCGATTAGAATAATTAAACTGAGTATCTTTCGTTCACCCGAAATATGGTAAGAATGTATTAAAATCCCATGAACGATGTTCGCAGTGAAAAATTTACTACAATATAATTTCAACCTAATTGATTTGATTCTCATAAGTTTTAATTTGAGATCGGATATTTCCAACTATTAATTAGTTTTTTTTACCCCCAAAATTCTAATTTTCTAGGCAATATATTGCTAAATATACTGGTTACAAAAGATGTGCCTATTAAACAACAGAAAAACAACTTGACTTTAGTTTGTATCCCTTCACCACCTTTACCATCGCAGGCTAAATCGTCCCTTACCAACGAAGAAGATAATGGGCAACCAAAACCAGTTCCAATGTTGATACGTGTGAAAACTGAAGAGGGAGCTACAGAGTTACTAAGTCAAATGGATTTGCACAGGGGTGTCTCAACGAAGTCATAATATTGAGATGAGTTTTTCCCATCGTTTCTGTCTACCTCTTATTGACTGAAAATTATGTTTCGTGTTTTGAAGATTACATTCAATCTTTTTTTGCGAAAAAAGATCGTTTTGAAAGTAACTTTTGTTTTTATGTGAACTACATTGTAAAAAAATTGTTGTGGACTTTTTTGATGAAATAAGGGTTCTGAGTGTTACTAGTTTTCTCTTATCCCAATACTTTTACCATACGTTACGTCCACCCGACAGCTACTCGGAAAGGTTATCTAAGTTTGGAAAATTTGTGTATAATGGGTATGTGGTAGGAAAACTTGAATTACCACAATTAACAGTCAATAACTGGAATGATGAACGTTCTTGATCCTGTGGATACGCGTAAGTGACTAGGTGCCAAACTTAGTCGGGTTAGGAAACATCATCTTTGTTACACCGAACACACATTTCGTACGAATAACATTTAATTTCCCGTCCAAAACAATAGAATTAGCCCTTGGCATTGTACATGCTGAAGTGGTACTCGTCCTATCTATTACTATTCATTTAGACACAAATACTAGTAAAACGGGCACCAATAATATATATTCACCAAGCAATAATGATGAGGTTGTGAAGAGGTAGTGAAAGGAAGATATGGTAGAAAAAATGGATAGAAATTAGTGTGTAGGGAAATAATAATAATGAAAGAAGCAATCCAGTTAAGAAAAGTACAAACAGAAACGATTCTTTCAATTGATTTTCCCCTCATTCATATGAAGAAAACTGAAGTTACACCAGGACCGCCACCGTCTTAAATTCTGAACCACTGTGTTGCACTACCTCTAGAACCAGGGAGTTGTAAGGGACCAACAGATGCCAGTCTTATACATCTTTCCTTCATATCACGACAGCATGTCATGCACTGGTCATCTTTTCGCTTTTTCCAACCAGTCCCGGCGTCGGCAAATAATGCACGACGTGGAATCCGCTGGATCGATATTCGAAGTATATATACAAGCCACTGAGGTCAGTTTTTTAAAAAGATAAATTGTAGTCACTCCAAAAGTTGGAGTTTCTGGCATACTTCCACTTCGTTAGGTTAATCAGACTACACTGACCGGGGAGGACAGAACAGTCTGATCGATGTTGCCGAAGTAGCAGATCATTTGGACTGCTCTGCGAAGAACAATGCCCATCGTTCAAGATTGGCTTCCCATCGACTTCACTCACACCAGAATTCTCGCTGCCAGTGGCTTGGATGAGGTGAGAGAAATGTGGCTGCTGCTTCCAACTCACTGGCACACCCCGACCACCAGGATTTTCGGTCATTACGCAAGATTTGCACAATTTCATAGCGTAAAATCTTCGTCTATGGTCAAACTCGCCAATTCGCTTACATCAGTCCGTTTAGGATAACGACTTAGTTGGCCACTAAGACAAAAGATAAGATTAGCGCACACAAGGGCATGATCAGATCTCCTGGAAGAAGATCAATTCCTAGAAATGCAGTCGACGAGCAAGCTATTCCTAGCAGTAGGTCTATGATGAAATTAAACAGAAATGAAGATAGTAGACGATCATCTCCAATTGTTTTCGGTGGGTAATTGCCTCACAGCTGACACGGTTGAACTCCGATGGTCACGACTACTTACTAGAACTCCGAGGATTCCCTTTGAAAGCTAGTCACTAGTGAGAACATAATAATTTTCAGTTTGGGGTTGTCTGACATTGATCGGTTTTTAACGATTTTAATGGAATCCAACAATGTACACAACCACAAACTGAGAATATTAGCAGTAAAGTTGTATAAAATTAACTAATTTTTGTTTTTCCATTTCAAATTTCCGATATACTACTTGGGTTGTATCTTCTGATTATTGACACTGTGGTATTTATGATCTTGATCAAACATTCAACATCGAACAAGAAGTGGTCAATTTCTAAATGATAACGAACAGTTTTGTGTAATGGGTAAAGAATAACACATAATTGCGAAGATATCACTTCATATATAGAAATGTCAAAAATTTCACATATTATTCACAAAATAATTACATTGAATAATACAGATCAAAGATTCTCTACAAGTAAGATCGGATATGAGGGATAAATCTACTTAACACATTAGATACTTTTTATTCAATTGCTTCTCTTCTGAATTTCTATTTTGTACCTTTATGACTTTCGTCCGGAGAAATTTGTAAATCAGAATAAACAGGAAATGAAGATTTACTATGAATGTTAGACGATTCCACTTTATCAGTATGTAACAATCCTTGTTTAATCATTTCTTGACGTTCTTCATTATATTTTACCTGACAAAAACAAACAAACACATGATGTAGATTGTCATTATTATTATTCATTTAAACAATTTCTACTATATTTTTCTTCGTTATGTTGGATAAATTATTAGCGAAGTTTTAACTGCGTATCTTGATAACATAATCAATCAATCTAAGAATCATTATTGCCAGCGAAGTGAATACCTTTGAACATCAGTCACAGGATTACATAGGTATAAGTAACATTCGATGGAGTTTTAGTGGAGTGTTATATGTTTCCATAAACCTTTGACGGTATCAAATATAAAAAAAAATAATTATTGGTTGATATATACGCTTACCCAAGTACTTTTGTTAAGCATACTTATAGTTGTTGGTTCTTCAGCTCAGGAACTAATGGGACAGCAAGATGTAGTGCTTACTAAAATATCGCAAGCTGGTTTTCGGTTACAAAAAAAAAGAAAATGTCAATTCTAAGTTTAATTTGGTTATTTACTCTCTGAAGAAGTGACTTACACTAAGTCACGAAACGTCAGAAAATCTAATTTTTCTACTCATTGGGATATTAGAAATATATTACTTTTATTTATTACATTACTTGTTTATGATTTCCAAATTTTCTATAAATCAATAGAAAATCTTGGACAAACTGATGTTTTATCTCGACTAATTGTCAATCAGCAGCAAGAAAGTGAAGATACTATTATTTCAACGAGAAGAGGATATTCACCAAATAATACAAGTTGTTATAAGAGCAACACTACTATCCGCCGAAGATATTAAATGCTGTACTCAAGAAGACAACGAGCTGAAACGGACAATTAGTTACCTCGAATATGGGTGGCCTACTAATATGGACAGCAAAAACACTGAATTTATCAGGCTAAATCTCACAATAGTAGAGGTAGTAACAGTATCAGGTGTAATAGAAAAAACTAAGCGTCAAAGATACGATCCAAAAAGAAAATATAAACTGGAGAAATAAAAACTGTTGTATCCTTATTGTATAACTGTTTAGTAATTAGATTTCTTTTATCATAAGCTTTGAATTGACCTATTAGCTATTATTACACGGTTTACTACTCTTGAGTTATTCCCAATCTATTAGTTACAGACTCTCACAGCCACCTTTGGCTTGATCTTGTATAATTTTTATTTTACGGTGTGATGTGGTCTGGTTTGTTTGCATATAAACTACGTATATCTGAAACGTACTATTCATACAGTGGAGGCTGAGATTGCTTTCTGGACTCAATGGGGAGGGATAAACGAGAAGGACCAATAAAGATTCAGAGTTAACATATGGCTGCTAGTACTGTTTTGACATGTCGTTGGTTTAGCATAAGAACATGGTTATAAAAGTCAGTATTCGTATTGGCGACTTTGTCACATGATGATTAACAAGGAGAAAGTCATAAAAAACTTATGAGGAATCTAGAATCTTAGGATTTTGGAGTGGACACAGAAAGGATGCACCTGTGCCATTCCAAACGATTTTGAGCCATGTCATTCAAAGTTTAACCATTGGCTACGATAATCACGCGAACCACAACCAGGTAATCTATACTTAAGGGGTAGCGAATTGTTGATCGGACCAAAGACGCACAAACACGTAGGACGACCTAGGGTTCTGATTGGTCCTGCTTCCCTGTATAACCCAGCCAGTTGAGTCCAGAAGACAAGTCACAACCTCTGAGATATGAATCACTGTATTTCAAACATACTCTATTTATATACCAAGCAAACAAACCACATCGTACCATAAAAATAGAAAACAACATTTTGTACAATATTCACAAGTGAACAGATATCGACCAATAGAAAATGTCCATTTAAAGTCCAAGGACACCATTGGACTTGGCATGATAATTATTGGTCTATTCCTGCGCATCCACAACACCTCCCCTTTTTTTTGAAGATCCGGAGTTGATATCCGGATTTTGAAATTTTCTGGGTTTATCCTCCCCCACGAAATAACGTTGGGTCCTCATATACCCAAGCAACAGTTAGTCTGATTCGAATTAAAGCATATTTCGCGCATTGAGTAGAGGGTTCACTAAGACTGACTAGATGATGAGGATTAGCGACACCAGACACGAGATCATTAAGGTTTGATTCTTGTGCAACATATTCTTCAGACCTCTTCAAAATTCTATCACTGGATAATAGGTCACTAAAACAAACAGCATCTTTGAAATTCGTATTAGATTTCTGACCATTATTTGATGCACGGGAAACATTTTCTGACACGAGAGGTTCTTCTTGTAAGCTGGATACCTCACATCTTTCAGGCACAGTGGGATTTGAACCCACAACAGGGAATGTTTCTGAATTTGACATTTCTGAACAACTGGGCGGATCATGAATGATTGTCTCGTTTACATCACTGGTCGTCCGGGATTCACAGAGGCTTTTATAGGCAGCTTCATATGTTCTGCAGTTGTTTTCCAGCTCAGTCTTCAGATGAGAAATGAAATTACCAACTTCTGTTGCATTTCCAAAACATGGAAAATTTACCAACAGTGTGCGTAAATTTTCTAAAAAATTCAACTGGCTATTTTTGAAGCACTGCTGTTGTTGCTCAAGTAGAAGCTGTAATTGATCGGAACAGGTAGTCATTTTTTTTTCAGCACCAGCAATGAAAATTAACTGTAGGAATAATGACCAATGTTGCTCAAGGACGCTGGTGACAATCTGGATGCTGATTGGTCGAAACAATTAGCCTGAATCGCGTCCAATTACAAGGTTCAAAATTTTTCTCCACCCCGTCGCCAATTGTTATGACTGTGAAAAATAATGCTGCGGATGAAGGGGTAGCGAATTGTTGACCGGACCAAAGACGCACAAACACGTAGGACGACCTAGGGTTCTGATTGGTCCTGCTTCCCTGTATAACCCAGCCAGTTGAGTCCAGAAGACAAGTCACAACCTCTGAGATATGAATCACTGTATTTTTATATACCAAGCAAACAAACCACATCGTACCATAAAAATAGAAAACAACATTTTGTACAATATTCACAAGTGAACAGATATCGACCAATAGAAAATGTCCATTTAAGTTAACATGACTAAGTCTAATTGTCAGTGACTTCATGTACTGATGCCATGTTTTGGCTTGGTCGCCCCTACCTTTCTAGCTAGCGACTGCTGTACCAGAAAACACCACCCGTCGAGGTAGACGACGGTGACCTACAAATATCCTCTACTCTTAATGGCTACGTTTCACATCCACAAGCTATAACGGAGCAAACTGCTGTGCAGTAAACCCACCCTTTGGTTGGAAGACGGATATTTCACCTACACCTTCTGAATCTGTGCCGAGATTTCGTCAGACATCAGTACTGATGAGACTTCCAGGAAAAGTGGGGCGGTCGATACGTTCAACTACTTCACTACCTATCAATTATTCGGGTGGTGATGCAAGCCGATCCTGAAGTAACATTTTACATTTGCAGGGCGAACAGGATCACTAACATCCTGGAATTGTTGCTTAAGGTGGTCAGAAGACCGCATTTTTTCAGTGTCTTCTGCGAACAGAACTATATCATCTCCGTATTCTAATTCAACAAGCGAAATTCCTGGTAAAAGATCAACTCCTGAAAAGTCAGACGATGAAAGTGTTCTCTCTAAAAGCATGTCTATGTCAAAGTTAAATTAAAATGGGGAAAGCGGACAACCCAGACGAACACCATTTGAAGTAATTAGTTCCGATGACAGTAGAAGATTGATGTACTTCTTTGGTACGCCTTTCAATGACAGACACTACCATAGAACCTCACGATCAGCAGAGTCGAACGCTGCCTTACGGTCAAGGAATAAAACTATAGTAGGACGTCAGAAAGTATGTTTGTGTTAGATAGTCTCCTGAGGGGTGGATATTTGGTCTATACATCCACGTCCAGGTCTGATGCAAATATTAGTCCGACGGGAACACCTTACTACTGTCACACCCCCTCTACAGTCAGTAGTGTGACATCGCTGTCTTACCATTTTCTAACTGACCTGTCTGGCATGGCAGGTCTCAAATAAGGATGAGTTTCAGTCAATATAGCTCCGTTGAGTCATCACGAGAGGCGAGCCCAACCACCACATCAAGGTATCAGCTACGGTTGGGATTTGTTGAAAGGCATCCACGAGCTGGGATATCACTGATTTCCTTTCCTAAAGTTGGACTGATGTTGGGATGGATGTCGTTGGAAGTTTCAAGTAGGTTATTTGCATACTGATTTAGGGGATTACGTAAGATGGAGTTATCATATGCATCATACATAAAGTGGCCACAGATGCTAACGTTTTCATTTCAAGTATGCAACACATATACCCGAAATAACAGATTCCGATTAGTCATATCAATTTCACTTTGAAAATAGAATTAAAGGTTCTTAATTTCTAAACTTATGAGCTGTTTTAATTTGATATGGAGATGTAGTCTGTGTAGTAACTATTGATTTCGACTGCAATCTTAAGCTCGTAGAATACATTTAACTGACTTACTTTTTAATGCGAATTCAGAAGCATCAGATACCTTTTGCTAGGTGGTGCCAACTTTGCTAAACGAGTACGTATATCCCTAAGGAATTAATCGCATAATCCTGATTTCAAGTGGAACGTCGATTGCCTGTATAGAGTTGAACGTGCTATGCTAGAAGAGATTATGAGTTCACCTAATCTTCGAACGGAACGAAGACTCAGTGACACAATGACCAGATAAGCTAACTATTCCGATGCGTCCCAGCCCAGTAAGAGAAGTCCAGGTTCAGAAGAGGGAAATGTATTCCACGAGCAGCCAGAAGCACGAACAGCAATCACAATCCAAGCGCACACATACAGAATAAAATGTCCTTGGGAAACGCTACAAAATAGCACATTATGAGGGACAACGAACCAACAGCATTTAAGGTCCTCTCAAGTGGGAAATACGACGTGAAGGTGAAAATGGGCGCTTTTGGCACGAAAACAAGAAATTCAAATTTCCAAAATAAAATTGCAAAAATAAGACATTTGCCGAGTGAATTCTGGAGATCAAACATCCTCAACAGAAAGTTGTGAGTCATACCACACCCCACTAATAACCATTCTTTTCAACAGCCCTGCTATAGATGAAGTATTGAAAAATTTGAGCCACCTAACTGACCAAATATTCGCAACAAAATTTCCTGCTGCATATTTATTTGGACAAATTAGTTATGAAAGTCAATAATATTATGTTTTTTAAGTCAGTACAATCCTTATACTGCCAACAGTAACTTAATGAACTAATTCTACGTCTTAATTTGAAAGACACCAGGTTTCTTCGAACCCACTCCAATACCCACGAGTATTTAGCACGGATTTTGTTAAGGTTCATCATATGTGTGTATCTACATCCTAGATAAGATTTATTCGGAATCTTAGATGCAAATACATATGGGATGTAGCCCAACAGTATCATTTTTGAAGAGGTTGGATTATGATTTACTCCGTGTCCGTTATATCGTCCAGTCAAATAGACAGCCAAACAGGAATAATAGTGATTTTCTAATCCTAAATGTAAGAAACTTTATGAAAAAGGAAATTACTGTGAGATTATTTGTAGCCGAAAACAAAAACAGCATGTAATATACCTCCAATTCTGCTGCACGACTAAGACGGTTGATCATAGATACAGCATTAGCTTCTATCTCTTCTTCTGTAGGTGGATTAGAACGTCGATGACTCAACCATGAATGCCATTCAGGAGGTACAGACGATAATTCTCAATTATTTTGTGGAAAATACGAAAAGTAATTAGCAGTAAAATCGAAACCACAAAAAAAAGACTTAGAAAATATTCTATTCCTTCAACGTAAAGGAATCCCGTGAAATATATAGAAATAGGGTTATACAATGGTAAGGAATCCGCTACTATATATGTTATATACGAACGAGGAGTAAATGAATGGTAACTGCTAGGAATTAATTATGGAATATTATTACATATGTTCTTATTCGATAATTATTCAGTAACTAGATTATAGATATATTCAAATTTCTTTTACCATAAGCTTTCTGTATGACGACCTATTGGCTACTACAACATGATTTACCATCCTTAACGTACTCCCAATTTATCAGCTACAGCCTCCCATACTCACAGTCACTTTTGACTTGATATTGCCTTATTATTATTTCTCATTTAACGGTGTGTGTTCTAATCTGCTTGTATACACACCATGTCTGAACTATACGATTCATGCAGTGGAGACTGAGATTGTGTTCTAGACTGAATTGGCAGGGTTATACAAAAATTTAGTATACATAATCCCAATAAAGACTCAGAGTTGGCATAAGGCTGCTCGTGCTGGTTAACACAACATTGGTTTAGTGCAGGGACAAGGTCGCAGAAGTCAATATTGATTTATAACTCGGAGATCTTTGACCAGAATTCGTATGAATACTTTACGACACTGATTAGGTTGTGTTGAAGTGCTTTCAGTATGTTGCTTAGATATTTAGATAAAGCATATGTAGAAGTATTTGTGAAGTCCACTATGGGGTCCTAAAGGAATATGAATTTTTGGTTATCAATAAAGGGGTGATGCGGTGTTGGATTGAGGGTATAAAGTAAGCCATATGGAAACGGCAATAAATGGCTTTAGTTCTTTAAGAAATTCACATGTCTCAGATTTAACTTTACTTTTAACCACTTGAAATTTTTTTGAGTCGATCTTTGAGTATGGTCCCGTAGATGGATAATTAAGAGCTTTTTCTTCATAGTCATTTGTGTTCCCAACCACTATTGTATTCCCTTTGTCAGCTTTGATAATCACAATTGTTCTGTCTTTCTATAATGAGCGCAAAGCTTTCCATTGTTCTTTGGAAACATTAGGTGGAAGGGATATTTGTTTTGTCAATATGTGAGATGTTTTTTTTAAATGTAATGTATGAAACCCAAACGACTAGATTTGACCTTATCTATTCTCCACACACACCTAATTTCAATCCCACTACTTGATATTACAAATTTATACATTTTTCACATTCACACTCTGACACATAAATTAATACAGTGATAAAGCATACAAATTCACCTTGACCAAGAATAACCTGATATTGAAAAATTTAAATTCATTATGATTTTAACTGTACCATAATATTCTGCAACTCCGTCTGTAGCTCTTATAGGGTTACTGCCGGTCCCAAGCCCGGGTAAAGGAGGAGGGTTGGGCATGGGGTTAGCGTCCCCATCCCGTAGAAAACTAACTCGCTAAAAAAACGCTTACCAGAAAAAATAATCCAAACCATTTTAACTCTGTCCTGGGAGTTAGAAGGTCTTCATTTAGAACAATTAGGACGCTTCATGGTGAAAGCCGAGCTCCTTCGGAAGCCACGAGGCCGATGCCCCTTCTAACAACCAGAGCAACAATTTTTATAGGTACATAGAACGTTCGAACAATGTGGGAAACCGGGAAGACCAGTCAAATAGCAATGGAAATGAGGAGATACAACTTAGCAGTACTGGGAATCAGCGAAACCCACTGGACCCAAGCTGGACAGAAAAGGCTAGCTACGGGAGAGATCCTGCTATACATAGAAGCATACAAGCAAGTGAAGAGGAGCATTAGAGCCGACAAGAAGAAATACGTGGAAGAATTAGCAACGACGGCGGAAAAAGCTGGCAGGGAAGGAAATATGAAACCATTTTACGATACAACGAAGAAATTAGCGGGGAAATACAGTAAACCAGAAAGATCGGTCAAGGACAAAGAAGGCAAGCCAATCACTGAAATTCAACAACAGCGGAACAGATGGGTAGAATACTTCGAGGAACTCCTGAATAGGCCGGCTCCAATGAATCCACCGAACATCGAAGCAGCACACACAGATCTTCTATAGATGTCAATCCACCAACGACGTAAGAATCAGAATGGCCACCAGAAAAATCAAGAGCTGGAAAGCAGCAGGACCCGACAACATACCAGCTGAAGCACTGAAATCAGACATCGAAGCAACCACAAGCATGCTTTACCTTCTATTCAAAAAGATTTGGGAAGACGAACAAGTGCCGATGGACTGGAAAGAAGGGCACCTCGTCAAGATTCCAAAGAAAGGAGATCTGAGCAAATGTGAAAACTACAGAGGCATTACACTACTTTCAGTACCAGGGAAAGTCTTTAACAGAGTGTTGCTGAACCGGATGAAGGATGCAGTAGACGCCCAACTTCGAGATCAACAAGCTGGATTTCGTAAGGATCGGTCGTGCACAGACCAAATTGCAACACTACGGATCATCGTCGAACAATCAGTTGAGTGGAACTCATCACTATATATCAACTTCATTGATTATGAAAAGGCATTCGGTAGTGTAGATAGGAGGACATTATGGAAACTTCTTCAACACTACGGAGTTCCTGAGAAGATTGTCAATATTATCCGGAACTCATACGACGGACCGCAGTGCAAGGTCGTGCATGATGGACAGATGACAGACGCATTCCAAGTAAGGACCGGAGTCAGACAAGGCTGTTTACTCTCTCCCTTCCTCTTCCTTCTGGTGGTCGACTGGATTATGAAGACCTCGACATCTGAAGGAAAACACGGCATACAATGCACAACTCAGGATTAATTAGGTGATTTGGAATTCGCAGATGACCCAGCCATCCTATCACATACACACGAACAGATGCAGATAAAGACAGCCAGTGTAGCAGCAGTCTCTGCATCAGTAGACCTCAACAAACACAAGGAGAAAACCAAGGTCCTCAAATACGACACAGAGAACTGTAATCCAATCACTGTTGATGGCGAAACTCTAGAAGATGCAGAATCCTTCGGATACCTGGGAAGCATCATCGATGAACAAGGAGGATCAGATGCAGACGTAAAGGGAAGGATTGGCAAAGCAAGGACAGCATTCCTACAATTGGAGAACATATGGAACTCAAAACAACTTTCAACCAATATCAAAGTGAGAATCTTCAATACGAACGTCAAGACAGTTCTACTGTATGGAGCGGAAACTTGTAGAACTACAACAACCACAATCAAGAAAGTACAAGTATTTATAAATAGCTGTCTACGCAAGATACTCAACATCCATTGGCCGGATACCATCAGCAATAGCCTTCTGTGGGAGAGAACAAACCAACTTCCAGCTGAAGAAGAAATTAGGAAAAGACGATGGAAATCGATAGGACATACATTACGCAAATCGTCAAACTGCATCACGAGGCAAGCCCTAACTTGGAATCCTGAAGGGAAGCGAAAAAGAGGAAGGCCAAAGAACACAATGCGTCGGATAATAGAAGCAGATATGAAAACGATGAATTACAACTGGACGGAGCTAGAAAGGATTGCCCAGGACAGGGTTGGATGGAGAACGCTGGTGAGCGGCCTATGCTCCTTCACGAGGAGTAACAGGCGTAAGTAAGTAAGTAAGTAATAATATTCTGCATTGTTTCCTTTGTACTATTATAATTTAATTCGATTATTCGTCTACTCTGAAGAAGTGGCTTACATTAAGTCACGAAATGTCAGAAATACAACTTTTCCACTCATTGGGATATAACAAAAATATATTTATTATCAACTTTCTACCCAATGCTCAATCTATTTGGAACTATCAAGTCCAACCCGTGGTGAACTTAGTTTTAGGCTTGTGACGCTTATGTATGATGCTCTTCAAGGACTGGAACTTCTCGAACTAAGAGAAAATTTGGAGTATGATTTTTATGAAAGATGCATATAAGTATTGATTGATACCAGAATATAACCACTAGGGCAACCAAATTTTTAGTATATGTAACGTCGAAGCCAGTACATCTAGGATGCAGTTAGACTATCTAGACTTCACAGATGATGCAGAAGACAACCAGTGTAGCAGCAGCAGCAGGTCTCAACATACACAGATGAGAAAGCAAGATTCTCCGATACAAGACAACATGTACCAGTCAATTCACACATGACAGACAAGCTTTGGAAGATGTAAAAACCTTTACATATTTGGGCAGCATCATTGATGAGCACGGTGGATCTGATGCAGATGTGAAGGTGCGGATCGGCAAAGCAAGAGCAGCATATTTACAACTGAGGAACATCTGGAACTCAAAACAACTGTCAACCAACACCAAGGTCAGAATTTTCAATACAAATATCAAGACAGTTCTACTGTATGAGGCGGAAACTTGGAGAACTACGAAAACCATCATCCACAAGATACAAGTGTTCATTAACAGCTGTCTACGCAAAACACTTCAGATCCGTTGGCCGGACACTATCAGCAACAACCTACTGTGGGAGAGAACAAAGCAGATTCCAGAGAAGGAAGAAATCAGGAAGAAGCGCTGGAAGTGGATAGGACACACGTTGAAGAAAACACAAAACTGCATCACAAGGCAAGCCCTCAAGGTCAAAGAACACATTACGCCGAGAAATGGAGAGATATGAGAAGAATGAACAACAATTGGATAGAACTAGAAAGGAAGGCTCAGGAAAGAGTGGGTTGGAGAATGCTGGTCGGCGGACTATGCTCCATTGGGAGTAACAGGCGGAAGTAAGTAAAGCAAGTGGATTAATGCTACATTAAATGGTATATGATGCCGGTGATCTATAAAGCTAAAAAAAGACGAGTACTAAACTTTGATTTGTTAATTCATGCAAACTACTACTAACATACTAATATACAAAAGTAAAAATATGGCTCACGATTGATTTCAGTTCATAAACTGACCTACATCCATATTCCCATGTGAACATTCTAATCCATTTTGTCCAGGCATAAGAAAAAACCTCTTTGGTAATTTTGATAAATGAGTATGTTCACTTGCTTTATTTGGTGGTGCTTCAAAATATCGATTACCTGATTTATCTACGCCAACCAGACGTGGTCGTTCGCGATAAAACATTGCTCGAAATGAAAGAAATATTTGTTTGAGTATAGACCGATTCAAGTTCGATGTTGTCATGAGTGTGCTGAAACAAATTAAATGGAAAATGTACACAAAGTAATATCGAATTAGACTTTGGACACTAGTAAAGTTGTTGTAGCATGATAACTTGAACACGAGTTATTGTTTATAATTTATCATAAAGGAATACAATATTTGTTATGAGTACATATTTAGTTGTTAAAAAGATAAAAACAGAAGTTTGATTATGAAAAATAATGTACAATGTGGTCGACGGACAATTGCTCATAAGAGTGAACACTCAGTGTAAACTACCAAATGAACAGATCATAACTAATCAGGAAAATAGGTCCCATTCTTTAGGCGAAATGATACTTATATACACACAAGAACGAAGTTTCATATCAAGTAATCGTAAGATATAAATTTCCGAAACACTCACGCGTGAGGGGGATCAAGAATGATTTTAGTTCTTCATTGAATATGCAAGATATACTTCGGCAATTACTATTGTGAATTGTTCATCAATTAAGTTGAATTACCTTTCGTTTTTCAACTAACAGTTGGCCAAATTAATAGTCACTTAAAAGTTCCAAACACAATCAACACGTTCTGTCATTTTATTACCTTTGAAATGCATCTAATAGAATGCAGAGAACTCCTGAAATATATAGACCTTTGACAGAAATTGGATAAAATTACCGTAGACTAAGGATGACACTGATTGGATGAATCTGAAATTGGGTACTAACAGATACTGTTCAAAAATCAAGCTTATCGTTGTGAAAATACAATGGCCCATGTAATTAAAAACCTGTAAGGATTGAGGAAATATGAATATATTCAGATAGCTTATTCGTTGTAACTATCTGGTGGGACAGATACGCAATAGAATTATAGCGAAGAACGCAGGTGAGAAAAACCGATTATATTTAGCCCGAAATTACTGTTACTTGATGAAATAGAAAAACCATACTTCATTTGCAAAATGTTCATTAATTGTTTCGGACTTCATTGTTCCTATGTTTCCATATCAATTGCTTTCTGTTTCCTCTCTTCCTTCCTCGATCTTCTCAACCTTCTACTGACAGATATTCCGTTCCTGACTAGCGTTTTATACTACTTATGTCGACGTAAGTAGCACACACCAAAGAACCATGTTTAATTAAAACAAAACCAAGACTAAAACATTCTGGAAAAAGGGATTAGGGAGTTTGATAAATAAATATTTTTATGTAAATTTCAATGTCGATAATCCAGCATAGAAAATTTTCCTTTTCAATTTATTAAAAAACATTTTAACATGTAATGCAATTAGTTCTAAAATAGGAACCACGTAAACTTACCATTTTGTATGATATAGGATAAATCTGGGTGTAGAACGTATGTAAAAGCCTAGAACTGGTGCACTTATTTTCCATAAATTCTTTACGGGAGTAAATTGTGCCTAAACAAAACATAACAAGAAGTTATACATAGTAATTAAAAAATGAGCCTTGATAGTGTCTAAATAAAAACGGAAATCCAATAGTGAGTCTAGTTGCCATTTCCAATAAACAGGAATGAAAGTACAGTTATTGAATTTAGAATACAGATGTACATATCGTCTAGATGCATTCAACCTGCCTATTGTATTCCGTGCTTTCCCTCAGATTTGGAGGTCATCAGAATCCAGTGAACAACCAGAAGAAAGAAAAAGGAGGAGAGTAGGCAGCCATGTCTGATCCCGGTTCTCATTTGGAATGCGTCTGCCAGCTGCCCTTCATGCACTTTAAAGTGTAGTCCGTTGTATGAATCCCGGATAATGTTGACGATCTTCTCAGGTACAACAGTGTCGAGTAAGATTTTCCTACCCACACTGTCAAACGCTTTCTCATAGTCAAGGAAATTGATGTGTCGTGACGAATCCCATTCAATCGATCGCTCAACAATCATCAGTGGTGTCGCGATTTGGTCTGTGTTCGACCGGTCCTTACGGAATCCAGTCTGTTGATCCCAAAGTTGGGTGTGTGCCGAATTCTTCATCCATTTCAGCAATACTCTTGAAAACGTTTCCTGGTATCTATAGTAGTGTGATTTCACTGTAGTTCGAACATTTGCTCAGATCTTCTTTCTTTGCTATCTTGATATCGTTCTTTCCAGTTTGTCACTGACACTTGGTCTTCCTCTAAATCGTCCTAAAAAGAATGCGGAGCACCTTTGCAGTTGCTTTTATGTCTGACTTCAGCTGGTATATTGTCAGGTTGTGCTGTTTCCCCAGTCTTGAATTGTTTGATGACCAACTTTATCTCTTCGACCGTTGGTGAATTGACATCTATAGGAAGATCTGTGTATTCAGCTTCGATATCGGGTGTATTCAGTGTAACTGGTCTATTTATAAATTCCTCGAAGTGTTCCACCATCTGCTCCTCTGTCCTTGAATATCATTGATTGGCCTACCTTCTTTGTCCTTGACCGGTCTCTCTAGTTTACAAGATTTCTCTGCCAGTTATTTCGTTGCACCATATAGTCGTCTCATATTTCCTTCTCTGGCAACCTTCTCCGCCGTCATTACTAGGTCTTCCACATATTTCTGCTTGTCGGCTCGAATGCTCCTCCTCATTCTCTTGTTTGTTTCTGCATATTCGGCCTGTCCATTGGCCTTTTCTGCTCTCGTCCGACTGTTGTTGATTGCTATTTCCTCTTCATGAATTCTCCCGAGTTTCCATAGAAATTCACTGTATATTCTTATGCTTCTTGTGGCCCATTACCTCCTGACACGTTGAAGTTAGTGCTTCTTTGATCCCTTTCCTGTTGTCCTCCATAAGAGTTTCTTCTTCTTTCAGTAGATCTTGTAAGGCTTGGAACCTGTCACTGAGAGCTAACTTGAATTCGTAAAGTTTGTCAGTATCTCGTAGAAAGGCTGTATTGAAGGTTTGTTATGCTGTTTGTTCAGTGATTCTTAAGCTCCAGTTTCATCTTGGCAACTACTAGGTGGTCATCTGAAGCTGTCAGTCCCTCTCTCGTTTGTCACACCTTCCATTGACCTTCTGAATTTACTAGTAATACAAATATGATCAATCTGGTTCTCTGTGATGTGGTCGAATGAGACCTATGTAGCCTTGTGTATGTGTTTATGTGGGAATATAGATCCTACAACCATTTTGTTCATTGTACATAAATTTGCAAATCTCGTTCCTTTCTCCCAGTCAGTCCATTTCGTCCCATCATATCTTCACATCCGGTGCTGTTCATTTCGACTTTGATATTTAGGTATCCTATGGGGATGGTTAAGTCCTCTCCTGTACATTCGTTTATGATAGACTGCAGCCCCTGGTAAAACTGATCTTTATCGTCTTCACTGCTATTATCAGTGGGTGTATAGCATTAGATAACATGCATTGTGAACCCCTACTTCCTTGTTTTACAGGATACTTTGGTGATCTCGAATCCATGAGTGCTTCTTTGGACAATATCAATGCAACTCCATGTGTGTGGAGCATTTTCTTCTCCGTGATCAGTGTACTGCAGTATCTCTCCTGAATCCAGCTTCGGTTCAATGTGTTTCGCTGATTTCGAGCACTGTTAAGTTGTATCTCCTCAGTTAACAGAACTTATAGAACTTTAAAACAAGTTTTGGCAGTGGGTCTAGTTCTTTATTTCACTAGTTTTGTAAGATACCTGTTTATATGCATAATACTACAAATGAACCACCCTAGTTACGAGTTTGACTATTAGAAATTATGTATTTCTATATGCTGAGTAGCTCAATTGTAAAGCATTGATTGATCTTCTGGACACGAGTACAAAATTCAAAATAGAATCAAGCGATTCAGAATTCTGAGAACGTAGACAGGACAATGGTCAGATATAACCAATTGAGATCAAGGTCGACAATGATGAGTAAAAATTCGAACAGCTCACTTCAATTTGAAGTTTGTTCGGATGTTATCCAGGACGATCAAGCTTGAGAACAAAAATTCATCTGCATCAAGATAAAAAACGCACCGACAAAGTTGTCACATTGAAGTTCTGTTTAAAGTTTTTAATCATTGGTAAACAGACAAAAGAACTCGCCAGAAGTTTGTAAAGTTATATACTACTTATTTCAGTAAATAAAGGGAAACTACTGTAGACTCAGAGTTTATTTTCTTACTAATTCCGGTACATATATAGAAACGACAGTATATTTATCGTCAAGACAATACTTTACTAATTAGTTTTGTTCAAAACAAACTACATATCTTCGATAATTTCCTAATTATCAATAGAAATATAACTGATGTGATTTTCTTTTTCTAACCATTGTATATTCAACATGAATAGTGAATAAAACATCTACATTGAATTCCATTTGTGAATACTAAGTTAAATCTACTTTCATTTTCTAGAGTCGGCGATAAGATGTGAATAATTTTCTTGAATGTTTAGTCATGATGCTTTGGTATTTCATGAGACGATGATTACCTTTTTTTAAGAACATAGATTTCTTGATTCATAAAATACATCATACTAATTCCTTATTGATAAAATATTAAAAAATTTAGATATAGACAATAAGATCAGATTTATTGTACATGATTTCCCTTTTTAAAGGCATCATCAAATTAAACAAACAATATACTAACCGTTACTACTATACGAATATGTTTAAAAGGCAAAAAATGTAACAAATTTCCATCATTTATTTTTAAAATAAAAAGAAACAAAAGACCGCATATAGAGCGGAGAAAATGCAACTTCGATAAAAAGTTCTTAGTGTGTACATATGTAGAATATATCAGAGTTAAGAGAAGAAATTAATAATAACACACGAATAGTTTAGAAATAATGAAAACTCATAACAAAACTAGTAAGATATCCGGGAGAGAATCGATTCTTGTGGGATTTCTTTGACTGGAAATGAAACCATAAATTAATCGGATGAAACCCTGGATGCTGGTAATGTAGGTGGAATATTAAATGGAACCATTGTAGTGTGTATGTCAATGACGCCCACCGGATGAATGATCCTAGAGAACAGTAAAAAGACATTTTTAAAAAATGCTGAAACTATTACCATAATCATGATGACAGTTCTAAATAATTTATGTTCAGCTTACTTACTAAGTAAAAAATAAATACTATAGCATCAGTGTTAAGTGTTATTAAAAGCATGACATTGCCACAAAAGATCGAATTTTATCTAACACTTTCTTGATTTTAAAAGGTGAACAAAAGGGCCAAATATTATTAAAGATTTACGGTGAAATGTAATAATTTAAACATGAAAGTTCGTTGACGTTAAAATCTGATGATTGATGGAAGAGATAGTTTACCATGTAACTTAAGTTATGGTCAATTGACTAACTCAGGACGAGGAAAGATGTTCGTTCAGTCAGTCAGTAACAACGTAGAACTTCGTACGTACGTACATTAGTTCGAGTTGCCACACCACATTAGCACAGAGATGCAGTGGTCGATTCAAACCCCGTAGTGGTAGAGGTAATAAGAGTATAAGCAGTAATCGGAAAGATTAGTGTTTGGAGATGTTACTTAAAGAGTATAATACAGTGTTCAAGGTCTTATAATCACTAACAATCAGTTAGTAGTTATAATAATATGTTCTATGTAAATGCTTTGGTTCTTTTTAGATTCTCAACGAGCACAGAAACATCTTTACATGAAACATCTGTTTGGTGGCTAAAGAGGTGATTTTATTTTTTGATTCAACATATAATCAAGTCGTTTAAAACTGGAAATTTACACGCAGATACTGGTTACAAAATGAGTGTTAGGAAAAAGAGAAAATGGTTACTCTGTAGGTATAACATTTATGAATATGCGGTAAGTATATCACATACCTGATTACTCTTTGAATTCGCTTTGACATTATTCACAGCATTAGTACTTCGCCTAGTTCGTTTGGCAGGAGGTGAGGCAGCTGATGCATTGATATCGTTTTCTTTTTGATGATCTGACTGAGCTTCTATTAGTTGCATTCTGGTTTGAGAAAGGTCTGTTTCTAACTTATTTACTTGAGCAGTGAGTTCTTGGACCTTGATAAAATAAAAAAGTGACAATGATCACAACTTTTTCAAGCAACTATGATGTAAGCATGTCATGACGTGATAGTATACAAGCGTCCCACATTATACCTAAAAATTTAAGCACTAGGATTTGTTCCCTATATACTTCATATCATTTGTGACCACTTTTACGACACTGAATGGATTTTGTCTGGTACTGAAATGAGGCGAATAGTGAGAAATTTGCAATTGCGTGATTGAAGAAAGCGTTAGATAGCGTGTTAAAAGATCAGAGAAGTGATAAAAATAAGTACAACGAACATTTATTAACAGGTTTCCGTGTCTTGAACAAGTTTTAAGAATGTTGATCAAGTGGATTAAGAAGACCGAACTATATGTCAACCCTACGAGTTGAAAAAGTAGTAAAATAACCTGCAACTGTAACTTATCATTTCATAACCATAAAATAACTTACGCGAGAGGTTGAATTGTATGCTGTCTCTTTTTCTCGGGCAACTTCTTCGGACAACTTTTGTACAGACTGTTGGGCATTAGCAAGTTCGGACTCCAACTTGATTAGTATAGCAAACAAAAATAAATATATTGTAATACCTATTGTATTAAATATTCTAAAAAATCAGTAAAAGGAATAAATGTATTGTATATCGGCCAAATGATTTGTGGATACAGCCAATACTTTGTTATATATCTCGTTGCTAAAGTCGATTTCGAACAATCACTTTTCCTATGGTAATTAATCGGTTAACAATGACAAAATAAATCCATAATTACCATGCCGATTTTAACTATTCTTTGATTGACTACCTTTTCTTATAAATTGTTATTGTATTGTATGTCGAAATTATCTTTTTTTAGTATGTAAAAAAACCCAGTTGTGTCACACTTTTAACTGATGAGATTAGTAAAAGTTTTCATGACAAGGACAATACTCTTTTCCCACTTATTGAAACACTGAGGGTAATTACGTTCGAGGTTTTGAGATGATGTACGAGTCATTGTATGTGTGTATTAAAGGGAAATTTTGTCACAGTCTTTAACCATTCAGAAAATACTTGACCTGATATACGTGACAAATTTCAGATAAGTATAAATGAATTAAAAGTTTATCCGTATCGAGTTAGTAAGGTTATGTAGTAAAGTCAAAGCTATTCACAAGATAAATAAATATATATATATATATATTGATGCAGTAAATTCTGCTATTCAACTAACCTGAGATTTTACATTCTCATTTGCCTGTTGGGTTTGAACTGCTTCAGCCATTAAGGTTTTACAACGATCTTCCATTGAAGACAGTTTAGCTTTAAGCTGTAAAAAGAAATAAAACTAATGATGAAGTGCTAATAAACAACAGATAACAAGTTGAATTGAAAGTGGAGATAAGAACGATTACATTTTAGTCAGAAAGTCAGCTCAAAATGTTCACAAATGTTAATAAGTTGGAGTTAAAAACTGAAATATATGAGGAATACATTTCGTTAGGAATAAAACAGATAGATACTTGGGTGATGAATTACATTTCTCAGTAAAGTTGGTTGCATATAGATAATTGACTGATTGATCAAACACTAAATATGACTTTGTTTAGTTGTAATAATTAGCAAATAAAAGTTAATTCGCAATCATAATAGTAGTAGAAATCAGTATTTATCTCGTTACAACCTTGACAAATCAGTCTTGTTTTTAAGTTATAACAATTTTTATTTGATAATTTTTAGTTTCCTAATAAATCAAAATAGCTTTGAAGTTTAAAGGAAGTTTTATTTGTGAGCTGTGCGGTTTAGTTGTAAAGTTTTTATTGTTATTCTAAACAATATCATGAGCACAAACTGACAGTTTGTCCTGTCTATATGAACACTAACTAGCTGTCAAACCCCATTATGTATATTCCCTTATATCAATGCATGTGGACACAATTAGAAAAATGATAACATTGTGCATAAAATGAATACAAAGATCACGGAATCTTTAAAAGCTTGGAACTCAGGTCAATTATAAATTCATAAATACATCAGAATCAATTAAATTTAGCAACTAATTAGAAATAGCATGGACAAATATAAGATCAAGAATCAAATCAAAATAGATAAACAGACAACGATCGGTTAAATGTCAAGAATAACCAATCAATATCAATCTCGAAAGGACAAGTCATTATATGTAGAAAAATTCGAATCCTTCACTTCTACCTGAAGTTTAAGCTGATGTTGTTCAGAAGATCAAAGACAGCCTCATGATTAAACAATCTAGCTGAACGAATAAAACTCTAAAGAACAAAATTTCGAAGGTCATTAAACACACTGATCATATAAAACAATATCTTATAAAATCTTCTGATAAATAAAAGGTTTATTATTGCCAAACAGTATGATTAATTCGACTTTATGAAAATAATGGACTACAATGAAAAATTTATAGAAAAATAAAGAATATTTGAGCGAACAATTGTTTTCAATAATTTCATCGTCAGGCTCCACAGTTTATAAGTTCATAATTAATGGTGGTATTTTACAAAGGCCAATATAAGGCATATATTAATGAATATGACTGATACATGTCAAAAAATGGTGAACAGTTGCATATGTTACAACACATATACTCTAAAATTCTTGATCTTTGTAAAATATCATAATTATGGACTTATAACTAAAAACCCTGATGATGAAGTTATTGAAAACAATTGTTCGTTCGAACATTCTATGAAGATTTTTATCAGTAAATCAATGTAACGCCAAATATCAGTATAGTATACCTGAGAAATTATATCTAGTTCATTCGACTGTTGATTGTCTTCAGTAAACAGACGCTCCTGACAACGTGAGCACACACCTTCATCTCCGTTAACGCTCACATGTGGCTCTTCGTGAGCTAGTTTAATTAAATAGAAAAATATTATAAACTTGATTAAGTGGGCTATGAGGAGGAAAACAACCATTTATAAACTAAAATGGAATTCTGATTGTATGATGATGTTATATTGTGAATAGGTCAAAAAATATTTTTAATATAAAAGCTCATAGGATTAAGACATGTCGTTTATGATGTTCCTGAATGGTTGAAGCTAACAACAATGTTTGAAGAATTGATTATAACAGTTCAGAAAACAGTGGGAGATTTAGAGGATAACTTACAACAAGTTGTATATTTTTCAATATGTCTGTCGGTTATCATGGATCAACAATAAAAACTGAAGTAAAACGTTTAAATTTCATGACTCATCTACTTATATTTGTTGGGTTTTAAAATTTAATCACATTATTAGTTTTCCATCATAAGTATGTAATAGTGCAATAACTAATGAAGACGAGGAAGTTCTGGATATGTGTGAGTTTTTCCTAACAGTTAACACTAAACACACATTAATTATTCAATAACAATCGAAACAAGCATTTTATTATTGTCGAGTATTTGGAGTTCTTTATTCCGATAGAAACACACGTTTTACTTATTAGCTACATCATGAAAACCGTTATTTTTTGCTGGTGAGATGAGAGCGATAAACTTTCTTCATGAAGCTTGAGAATAATTGAAAGAACATATTTGTGGATTAAATGTTTATCATAATAGAGATAATTAATCATACATTAAAAATACCTTGAATAGGATGACTATTTAGAATACTTTCACAACGTTTGCCTAGTTCGACAATCATTTTGTCTTTCGCAATTACTTTATTTCTCAAATCGTTTAACTGTGAAGAAAGAAATTTATTGGTAGTTTGCAAACTTGTTAGGTCTGAATGCCAACGTTCAACTTCCGCACCACCGCGCACAGCTCTGCATCGGACTGATTCCAGCTCCTTTATAGTATTTTCCAGCTGGCCACGAGTATTTGCAAGCTGAGTTGTGAGCTCGGAACAAAGGCGTTCTTTTGTTTTAAACTAAGACAGGAAATAAGTTAAGAGACTATATTGACAATAATTGAACAATATTATTACTCGATTATTTGTATGACATGCTCATCAAATAATAATTTCTATAATCCGTTTTAAGACATGAACGGGATACCACTTGGTCGTCCACACTTGGAAGCAGGGTGATGCAACGTATGAAGCTGCTACCCAATGGTTGAAAATGGAAGAGTTTATAACCACTGAGCTATTGTATTAAATAACAAGACACTAGATCCGCCGGCCGGATACCATGAGCAACAACCTACTGTGGGAGAGGACAAACCAGCTCCCATCTGTAGAGGAAATTAGTAAAAGACGCTGGAGGTTGATAGGACACATTGTGGAAATCATCGAACTGCATCACGAGGCAAGTCATAACTTGGAATCCCGAAGGCAAAAGGAAAAGAGGAAGACCAAAGAACATATGGCGCAGAGAATTGGATGTATAGCAATTGAAAACTGAAAAAGAGAGCCCACAACAGTTATGCTTGGAGAGCCCTGGTCGGCGGCCTATGATCTTACAGGCGTAAGTAAAATTTCAATTCGCAGAACTTCGATAGTACTCGTAGGTACTTGGGTGTGAGTCATATTCCAAGTGTTAGGGGTAATGATATTACCCGGTTGCCTAAACCGAAGGTGGACTGGGATTCGAACCTGGGACTTGGTGACTGAGAGTCGGACGCACTGAACATTAGGTCGCCGGTTCACGATAAATGGATAATGCATAACTAGAAGTGGTTATTAAAATTACAAGTCAGAATTTACCGGTTAGATGTATGACTAACGAATAAGAAAGTCCCAGTAAACTAAACGAAATTATATGATTGAAGGCCGTTATCTCAATAGTAAATCTGGTCAAAACAGCCTTACTAAACATCACTCGACAAACACATTAGAAATCAGTAAATACTCAGACAAAAATATTTACCTCGGCAGACATTTTATCAACCTGTGCAGATTTAGCATCAAATCGTGATCGCAGGTCGAAAAGCTCCGATCGCTTAGCTTCATTGTCCATTCGAAGTTGATTAACAGCGCCTTGTAGCTCAATGATTTTATTTCTATCAGAAGGATCACTTTGAGGAATTATCTTTGGAAAGACAAATGGTGAGTAAAATTAAAGTTTGCTTTAAACTACAATATACTAAGTTATTTTTAATTTTTGATGTTACATGAAAGTAAGTTGCAAGTATGCTTGTAATCGTAATATATCAGAAGTATCATGAAGGACTAAAGAATGTTACCTTTACAAACTTATAAATGTGCACTAGATCTACTCAATGGAACCCCACTCAGTCGGGATCAGAACTTCAGTCAGTCAGTCAGCTACAACGTAGGACCAGGCACATATGTGCATCGGTCCAGGTTGCCGTACCGCATCAGCACAACAAGATGAACACCGGATTCATAGCAGTGGTTAGGTCAAAGGTGGTAATATATAAGAGAAAGATTGCATATAGAGATATAGTACAAGAAGAAAGAATTGGTTCGTAGAAAGAAAGATATGAAGTGATTTTAATCTCTTAGTTTAAGGGAAGACAGAGAGTGTATACACCGACGCCATTGTGATCGATTCTGAGCCATGTCACCAAGAGTCTCCAACCATTGGCTACGAAAGTCACGCGGACCCCAACCAAGTAGTCTGCATCTACTAACATGGCTCACACCAAAAGTTAGTGACTTCAAGCACTGATGCCACGTTTTGGTTTGGCTGCCCCTAACTTTCTTCCAACCATCTCCAATACCGGTTAGCATTGCACGTCGTGGTAGTCGGTGTTCAGGCATACGTAACACGTGGCCCAACCATCTCAGTCGATGAAGATTCATAACCTCATCAACTGATTTACCATCATTCCCTAATACCCTGCGTCTAACCTCACTATTACTTACCCTGTGATCCCAGCAGATGCCAGCAATATTTCTAAGGCATCTGTGGTCAAATACTAATAGCTTACGAGTGTCTTCTACTCTTAATGGCCATGTTTCGCTGCCGTAAAGTAAAACAGAACGGACTGTCGCGCAGTATACCCGTCCTTTTATTGATAGACGGATATCTCGCCTTCGCCATACGTGACGTAAGTTGGCAAAAGCCAAACGAGCTTTTCGAATCCGTGCTGAGATTTCGTCAGACACCAACCCATTAGGATCAGAACTTATCGTACTTAAATGTGGCATGTTAAAACGACAGTTGAATATGATAGTTGAATTATCTTAAATTTTAACAACTCGATCATCCTTAAGCTAATCACAAACTTACATCGTAAAACAAAAAAGTAATTTGAGTAAGACAATTAATGGGAATAAGCATCGATTACAATATCTTGGTTTCACTAAAGACACACTGTCCTATGGAATCACCTGATGTGAGAACTGGTCAGTTATTTAGATTTATTGACAAGCGACAATACACTTACTGGTTTAGGAGGAGTAGCTATCGCTGCTTCTTCTAGTCTCTTGATTCTTTGTTTCAACTCCTGGTTTTCTTTTTCCATGTTCTCTAAATCGGTTTCAGTTCGCTTGCGTCGCTGATATTCTCTATCTCGTTTACTTCGTAAACGTTCAATTTCAGTTTCTAATTCAATAGGACCTACTCCTCGACGAGCTAAGTCTTCACGAGCCGTTGCCAACTCGCGTTTCAGTATACTGATTTGAGCTGTAAGACTTGAACGTTCAACATCGGCGGCTTCGAGTTTTGAAGCCTTTTTCGATATTTCCTAAAAAAAAATAATTTTTAAATCACATAAATTAACGGTAAATTTCATGCGGAAACTGTAATAATTAAATATTATTGATTACCGAATAAACGTTAAGTATTCTAAATAAGCAACAACAAAATGATGTTGAAAATGAAGCGCACTGACCTCATGAATACGGAGAATCACGTCTTCCCGATAAGTCAGAAGTTGATTAAGCTCGTTGACTTGGCTTTCTAGTTCCATGACCTTTGCACGCAGAGTAGCAGGATCAGTCTTTGAAAGTCGTTCTAGATCGTTTTCCAGCTTTTTGTCATCAGCGATCCATGGAGGTAAAGTGGGTCCAATCAGACGACCGCCAAGCTATGATGAAAAAGAAAGCCAGAATCTTTTCAACCAAAGTATGAGTATAATTGAACTAACCTACAAATTACATCTGATTGGGCAGAACTTAGGACTAAAATCTTCTATTTCATGATCAAAAGATAAACTGAAACATTTCGGATACAAATAAAAAGATTACATTTGACATGCATTTTTAAATCAAAAAAGGTAGTGTATATCTGGTACAAACGTATGATGACACACTCTTCATCAAAATGACCGAAAGAAATCAGCGATAAAAAGCATAAAAATTCCTACAATTATAACTATGCCACCATGAACGAGTCGGATTAATTTCAATTGTTAATCTGTTACGGAAGATCTGGATGCATTAACTAGCAGACTTCTTTTTAATAATATGTAGCTGTAGAACATGAAGGTATGCGTAGGCTGGAAGAATTTGACCATAGATATCTTCGAAGTGTTACCACCGCATGGTTAGAAAAGTTGGGTGAGAGATGGTAAGATTGGAGTTGGCATACTAGTTGATGCCATAAAACGTCGACTGTGTAGATTAAGACATTTTATACGCATTTCTAACCACACCCTACTCCGACCTGCAACGTTTCCTGATGGGTTTAAAAAACACTAGAGACGGAGCAAACAAAACAGGGTACCAACATAAAAAGTTATTATCTTATAGTTTAAGCCATACCACAAAGAGTAGACTTAGGTTGAGGTTCACCTAATACTCGTAATTAAGGGCTGGCATTCGGGTGAAACGGAGCGAAATTGATTATAGTGACAGACTACCATCGCGTCATTTTTTAAATTTTGAGTTGTCATTTTTAATCAACCATTCCTTTTGAACTATATTATTCATGTTCAGACTCCGATTGGTTTTGACATTACCTTATATTGTATCCTTCCTATTATGCTGATTCATTTTTGCTTGGTTGATCTCAGATGTAACATGTGCCGTTGCACATTTACTCAAGGCCCTACGTTCGAGATGATTGACTGGAAATTATTTTCGGAATCTCAACCTGCGATTGTTGATGGTTTAAGTGATGGATTATTTCAGAAACGAATGCAACAACGTAAGGCCACGGGCCAAGTGGATGACATTTAGTAATTGAAGATTTATAGTTTGGTTGAATGACTTACCACCCTCTATTAGAGCCTTATATCTTACATAGCTATTTTCTATCATTTTCTACTGCCTATTAACCTTAGAAAACACTTGTGGTTGAGTACTTTTATACCACACAGTTGTTCAATGGTCCAAATAATCAGTCTTCGGTATAAGTTCTTATATTAATCTTACCATTGGCTCCAACGAAAGAAGTGAGTTTCGAGACCAATAACGATAACTGGTCAGCTATGTTAGCAAGATATTTTGCTGATGCTAAGGTTAGCTGTAAATAGTAAGGAAGCAGTTACGTTGTAACATGGCATTGTGAAGTCAGTTGAATCAGGTTTGAAGATATTGGAACATCATAAGAGTCATACAACTTGTACATTATTTCGGTAACTATATCTCCAAACCATAAAGTCATACACTGTAAAGATGTAAACAATGTATTCATTTTTAACTAAGGTGGAATGTGAGTCACCACCACAGGTAGTGGAGAATGGATAAAACCACAAAATATTTTATTCGCTGATGTATATATATTTCTTTTATATAATGTTGGGAATAGTGGTTACGAGAACGAGTATGTAGAAATCTAAATTAATTAGATTGTTTACTGTCCTTGTTACCATAATTTTCGAGCGAAATCAAGAATAGATCTTACATAAACGACAATTTAGTGAAGTTCTAACTAACAATCATGAACTCATCTAAAGCTTAAGGTTTGCATAAGTTGTGTTTATCTTAGCTGAATTTTGCAAGGTTGAATATAAATACCTTATCAAGATCCAGCTAAGTGCAAGCATAATCAAAATGTTTTGTATATCTTTTCATCTCAATGATCACCCCCGCTAAGTGAAAGTCTTCACAAAAATTTTGAACAAATATCAACTGATTTTGCTAGGCTTATCACTGCTTATTGAGTTTGGGGAGAAACGGAAGATTTAGTCGCTTACCATACCACCACCATATCTTCTTTCAGAATGTGCCATTTCCTTGATACGTGCTTCCAGAGTCGCGCATTTCTCACCCAGCTTCTCATATTCATCTAGTTGTTGTTCCAACTAAGTTTTTAAAAAATGAAACGAAATCGTAGTATATATGAAGTGATTTAATCAGCATAAGTTCAAAATCATTATATATATATATATATATATATATATATGCATGTGCGAAGTAAATTTAATAAGCTGGTTGGATGGTGTAGATATCATGACTATGCAAGTCTTGCGTTTACAAATTAAATGTCAATAGGGAGTGATAAAAACACAATTGCCACCAATGACCACAGAAATAATTTAAGGAGTCTGCAATAAACTTAACAAGATGATCTAAATATCTTATAATCCAGTAATCAAATTCCGATGTATATACACCCAAATCGTGAGGCCTAATATCACTTACTACTCCACTGCTTAAACGGAAGTATGATATATCTGGAAGGCTAAAATGGTAATTAAGTAGGAAATTGAGAACATGGATAAAACTTTAAGAAGCGACACGCACGAATTTGTATTTTAGAATGCTTCAGGACCAAGCGAATTCATAAAAATAATACAAAGAAACAAACCTGTATTTGTAGTTGCTTTTTATCACCACATAGTTCTTCAATCTTTTGCTCCAATCCACTTTTAACTTCTTTAAGTTCTGCGATACGGTTTTCAGATTTAGCCTGTTCGGATTTGAAATACTCATTAGCAGCAGCTAATCCACTCTCACTAGTTGTTTGGGAACTAAAAGAATAATTAATTGAGAAAACTAATTACCGGTCATTGACCAGATTATCAAAAAGTTCCTGTAACGCCTTCAATCGTTCTTTTAAGTCATCAGCATCTTCACCTCTAACAATAGCTATATTTAATTCCGTCTCTAGATTAGAGGTTTTATGTAACAAATTATCTCGTTCCTCCGTGATATTTCTCAAGCGTTCTTCAATCTCCTTTGTGAAATTGCTTTGTTTCACGATAATGCTATCCTTGATCTGACGAAGAGACTCAAGAAATAAAAAATAACTTACCTTTATCAAACCGGATGCTTCATCTGCACGCCTTTCAGCATCAGCTAATTTAGCTTCACAACTTTCTAATGTCATACGTACACGTTCACATTGTCCTTGTGAATCGGCTAATTCCTGCTTTGTGGCATCGAACGCCTTAAGACGCCCTTCTAAATCAGCAATCTGCAAACGACAATCCATAACCTTTTTTTTCTCATCCCTATTCTGATTGACAAGACTTCGATTGCTTAACTGCAAACTTGAAATATCAATCTTCAACTTTTTATTCTCTTCGACAAGCACCCTAAAAGGCGGTAAGAAACAAGTCTAATCACAAATGTATATACAGCTAGGAAAAATTAGCTTCCATGGGAAATATCAAAGCGTGGTGTGAGAGAGATACACAACAAGAGATTACTAGTCTAGTAATCACAATGAATTGTCCAGGATGTGGATTTGGTTCACAAAGATTGATGAAATACACTAACCTGAACTAAACAGAACTCTCATTAACATACCCATATTGTTCCTCGTAATTGATTTCCTCTACCACAGTTTCTTCTGTCATCCTGAAAATGTAGTTTTACAGAAATATTTGGTAATATAGCAACAATTTTAGATGAAATAATGTAAAGTAAATTTTAAACGAGTTGAGACTGCTTGATAAACTTAAGAAAGTAAAATGCAAATGAAAGACGAGTCAATACTAGACGTTTAGTTTGATGGATATCGAGTGTCTTATGAAGTGAATCGAAAACGGGCTTGGCATCAAGAAATAGGTTTTTGGATCGCTATATTTTATTCGATTTGGCGCAGACTGCTAAGTCTATCCCTACTCCCCTCAGGATTCCGAGAAAGTGAAATGACATGTAGCACTGTATTTTGAGCAGCATAACGACCACCTTATACCGGGAAAATAGAACACTAGTTTTGATAAACCTTTATAAACATTTAAACCTGATTATCGGGACATGGTTTCACACCTCACCAAAGAAAAAGCGCAGTTTGCTTGTATAAGTCACCAATATGTTAACTACAAGATTAAAGCTAAAATCCCACATTTCAGATAATATAACGAACAACATGCCCAGTCATAGACAGTTGTTATAGGTGAAAGTTCGAAGTTTGAATACATGTATAGAGGCCTTCGTTCACCGCATCTTTTTACCTTAGTAATACACTAGAACACAGACCCTGAATAATAGCATCTAACATATAACTTTTAACCATGAAAGTGTACAGCGATAATTTTAAAAATAGCTCAGCAATGGGTCTATGCCTTTCAGAAAACCCATTACGTGCTGAACGACGCAAGGGGCAAAGTCACCGTTTTCTATAATCCTGTAGAATAAAGTAATGGCAATGCACAAAGTAATGTTTTCAAATTCCAGTAAATAATACAAACGACTGTAAAGCAGAAACCTACGTAGGTCATTGCTCTCCACGGATTCAGGGAGAGAAAAACTTATTTTTTATAGATGGTTGCAACTACCATAAGTCAGGAATTCGAAAAACGTATCACGAGGACCCGCATGGCATTTCTTACAATAATATGAGGATTGATTAGTGACAGAAGTCAGTCAGTCATGAACAACGTAGAATTTCGTACGTACGTACATCAGTTCGAGTTGCCATACCACATTAGCACAGAGATAAGTGATAGAATTTCTGTTACAGATATAGAATTCGTACGTACAAGCCAGGACTAAAGTTAAATCTGAGGGGTCTTTAGACTTTTAGTGAAGTCCACTTGAATGGCATTTATATTAACACTAGTCACTGATGAGAAATTGAAGACGGAATATGTGCTTGCAACGTTTTTCGACCGACGCTATTTAAAAGGGACAGTGGTATTTTTCCTCGCCAAGTTAATTTTATTGATGTGATCGTAAATTACGCATCAAAACTACCGTTTTCACTTAAATTGAATTCATTTCAGTTAAAGTATTCGCCAAGAGTATCGTTTTTTAAGTAACTTATCATCGGTACTTTTAAGTACACTGGTCCTTTGTTTTTGTTTGCACTTCCGATTCTAACAACTTGGTCATTAGTTTCTCTTGTCTCTGGGTAGTGTGTGTCGTTTCCTTTAAAAAAATCCGATTAGTGGCTGGATAGTGCAAAAGCGGTCGCTAACGCCCAGTCTGTTGATACCCTGTGGAAAGTGGCACGCAGTGCGATGAGTGCAGAGGATGGTACGACGAAGTTTACACAAATCTAACGCCTGCGGCTTTTAAACGGTCTAGTGAAAATAGATGCGTGGTTGTGTAGGTAGTGCCGCTCGGACGCAAACAGCTTGCTATCCAAAGCTATTGCAGTGGTGAATGCTGCCAAAACAAGTATTAACAAGCGTAGACGACACAATAGACAGTACTCGCTCGGTCGATACACAAATTGATGTGAAGTTACCTCAGAGAAGCTCAGAATCGTTTGACTTACATGGGCCAAAGAAAGGACAGCTTATAAAGGGGCTTGTTAGAAACAAAAGCTCAAAGGAAGTTTCTTCTGTCCAACGTCCTGAGAATGAGTGTCAGCAGGAAACGCCTAGAAAACTTAATAGTAAGACTAGGTCCATTTTTAGCAGGAAAAATAAAAACCTGACTACCCAAGTCATCAACAATAGTCCAGGATCCCACAATGTGTGTAACGTGACTGTCATTGCTATTCCAATGGAAGTTGATGAATGAATACAGATCAAGAATAAGAAACAACGTAAGGTTACTAAAGAAAAGCCAGTCCCTCAAACAGTACCTGAGAAATTCAAGACTGATCATAGTAACAGGTCAGTTGTATTTCATAGTCAAGGAGAGTCAGTGAGCTACAACGTAGGACCAGCCACAGATATACATTGATCCAAGTTGTTTTTATGGTAAATGTACATTTAGCAAAGTTGTTTTCAACGGGATGCGGTTGCTGATTCTATGTTCAACCCTCCTCACTTTCCCCGTCTTGGGACCGGCAGTAGCTCAAGAATAGCTTTGGCTGGAGTTACTCACTAGAAATACTACACCGTTTACCGTCATTGATTACGTATTCCATGAGTGGAGTGTGTGAATTAGTTAGTTGCTGCTTGAAACACACAGCAAGAGCTGATGATTGCTTTGGCCTACCGCAGATCAAGCTGAGGTGAACGAAGTCTTGCTAGATGGTCACAACACTTGGTTACAAAGTGGTCGACGTTTAATCTTAGGACACTTAAACGCACCCACGATAGACTGGCAAAATCTGAGAATTGAATCATCACAAAAGTCCTTTGGACAGAAACTGGTTGACGTGGTTATCACATGTGCTCTAGTGCAACACGGTACGACCCAGACTCCGAATCATCCTTAGATCTCATATTGACCCATTTATTTATTTGATTTAACACATAGATATTGGTACAGGGAGGCACCAAATACATATGCGCCACACAAATCTAATTCGATGTGTGAGGGCTGTGATACTGCCCGGGTGCCTAAACCGAAGCAGGTAGTTTTCTTAGGGGGCCACACCCCGAGCCTTTGACCTAAAGGTCTGACGAACAAGGCAGTGGAGCATCGTGAGGAGATGCGGTCCCATGGTAGCCGGTGACCAACAATTGGTTTATACGCCATTTGTTCCCGCAGGATACTGGAGCCTATGTGCACCATTGGTTTGAAATCCGGTTAAAGCGTCGGACATTCGCTTTTCGTCCTCTCACTTTCGTAAACAACACTTCCGCCACGAGAAGGCAGTGAGTAGGACTTCCCTGGCAGAGGCTGTATACGCCTGGCTGTGATAGCATTTGGAGAGGGAAAGCGGACTCTCCACTCTCGGCCGTACCAGGGCATTTGGGGGACATCCAGTACCTTACGTAAGCAGCTGTTTATAAATACTTGTAAATTTTTGATGATGGTCTTAGTAGTTGTAGTAACACGTTTTAGTGTTATTGATAGATATTTGAATATATTCTAACCAAAATATATACGAGGATGATGTCACAAACCTTGATTACATGCCAGACTCAGGTAAAAGTGATCATGAAGTTATAATCTTTGATTTCCATATAGTCGTCAATAACGAGCATGTGTCAGCCCGACCTAGACCTAACATCCGGAAAGCAAATATAGATATTAAACACTTAGCATCCACAATAGATTGGATAAGAGCCAGATCCCCCGATTGATACGACTTGAGAATTCATTACCTCAACACATAGTTGAAGCTTCATTCGCCGGAGCTTTCAAAAGAAATTTGGACCAACTGAGAGACCGCCATTAACAGGAAAACACAAACCACCCAGCCATCTGTCCCTTCCAAAATGAAACTGAAAAACCCAGGATTTTCGCTGGCTTAGTAGCCTAAGATCTTGCAAACTATTGCGCTCTGACGGGTTATAACATTGGTTGGTCATCTCACACAGAAATTGCTCAGGAATTACTCTGGGTTTATAATCTACCTCAGATGCATACAAGGGGCGGGATGGGTGCATTACCTGATACGAAGACAGTACTAGTCTAGTCAGTAGTTGTATAATGGTCCTAGAAGTTGCAATATTGAATGTCGTCGTATTCCTACGCTATGTTACCGAATTGCCGGCTGTTAAGTGTTACCAACATTACTTGGTGCATTGAAAACGACCGTATACTGCAATGTGCCGGCTACCAAGGTTTTACAAACACTAAAGTCACTCCCTGAAATCATATGAATTAATCACCTATTTTATATCTGATTAGAAATGCTGTAACCCGAGCCTCGCCGACAGTACAGATTTAATTATGTGTAGGGAAACCAAAAAACCGACATAAAAATGTGTGCAACCGATCTAAATGAATGAGAGAAGAGTAGCAACTCGACGTACTTGTGAAAAGACACTTCTCTAATATAAAATAAGATAAGGCCAATGTGATGCCGTATAAAACCGAAAACAGACTTTTTAACCTACCCACGCTGTTTTGAGTACCATGCACACAGTAAAACAAAACCGCAGAAGTTTATATGACCAAGTAAATTAACTTTCCGTTACTACAAATAGTCATTCAAGTTCTTATAAATGACTATTGAAAACCACAATAAACGCATTGACGAATATTTATTTCAGCATCTGTAATATCAACATATACAAAAACTAAATGGGTCAAATGGTTGTTGACGGAACAGAAGAAGCTTTTGTTTAATGGGCTTCTGTGTCTGTTAGCAGTGGATCACCGATATCTACAGGCAGGAACCTGGGTATATTAACGATTGTAGCGGTAAATAAATCCCCAAAATAAATAGCTCTAAGTTTTCGACATTGAATGCTGACCATATGTTTTAGTAGACTCATCTAGCTGAAGGCGCTCGGTCATGAATCCACACCAAATCACGTGTGGTAACGCTGTGCTCAACATCTACCGCAATCGCTAGCCAGATTAGATCAGAGAATTCCGATATATTTGTAATCGCCAAATACACTTTTCCGATCTCCTCGACTCTATCTTTTTATTTTTCTGGGTGGGAACGAATTATATTAGAAGGTGTTACTGGTAAAAGCGTTGTCAAACACTGAATACCTGTGTCATCTTCACGATAATAGAGGAAAAAAGGAATTGGTAAATCATAATAAGATGTTATCCATAAACCTTAAGAATAGGTCAAGTTTCCTCTTAAATAACTCCTAAGAAGTCGCTTGGACTAGTTCAGCCGGCAGCGAATTCTAGCATTTGACAACTCTTAAGGAGTAGAAGTTGTGTCTACAACCCGTTCTGCTGTGTTGTGTCTCCAATTACTGAGTGTTACACCTCAGGTTTGTGTTGGAGCTAAACTTAAGTAGGTGTTTGAGGGGATGTTCAGAAGTGTTAGGGATACTGTAAGCCAATAGAAGGTCACCTCTTAGAGGCCCATACTGTAATGGCTAAAGGTTAAGTGGTTGGAGGCGCTCTTCATAAAGTTTGAATTCCAGTCCCTGTTATAACTGTGACTGCAGATTAGACGCAGCGAATTATCGATCGAACCAAAGACGCGTAAACACGTAAGAATGGCCTACAGTTCTGATTGGTCTCGCTTCCCTGTCTAGCCCAGCCAGTTGAGTCCAGAACGCAAGTCTCAGCCTCTGAGATATGAATCATTTTATTTCAAACATACTCTGTTTATATACCAATCAAGCAGACCACACCGCACCATAAAATAGAAAATAACATTGTACAATATTTGGCAGGAAAATGACACGTGAAATAAACGTTGACCAGTAGGGAAACGACACGTGAAGTAAATATTGACCAATGGGGAAATGACACGCGAAATAAATATTGATCAGTAGAGAGACGACCAATAGGAAAATGACACCATTTAACGTTCGAGGGTAGCATTAGACTTAACCGGGAAATTGTTTTTGTGATATTTTTCTGAATATCCCAACAATCCCTGAACTGATCTCGTGGCTCGCCGTTGAATAATCTCTGGAGTGTCCTCATGATTTTGGAGTGAGGGAGGAAATGCTGTGTTTCCTTACTCCAAATGGAGACGAAATAACCTGTTGAAGATTATGTGGAAAGTTATTCCGTCAAAGTGGCCAAAAATGCCCTTCAGTGTCATCATTGCAAGGTTTGCTCGAAAAGTACATTTGTCACAGAGTAAGACTTCAAATCGTGAAGTAGCAGGACTCCTAAATCTTTTTAAACTCGGGGTTCTACTAGGGAGGAGTTTCTTAAGTTGTAACTGTAGTTTACAACATGTCGCAGATGGACTGCATCACACTGAAATGTTAAATGTATGTCTGTTGCCATCTGCCCAACTTTTAAGTCGAGTCTGATCCTCCTGAAGTGCTTGTATATCCTCAGTCAATTAGAGATGATTTGATACCCAGTCGTTTGAGCTTAGTGATTAGACATATATGGTTGACTCTAACAAAAGCTTTTGAGAAGTCAAGGTAAACAAAGTCCATCTTTCCACCGCAGTCAGCAGGTTGGTTATACAAGATGACCCTTCCTGAAACCATGCTGTTGGGTTAAAAGAAATTTAAGGACAATAAATAGTCATGTATAGCGCCGCGTATCAGGGACTCTATAATTTTTAAAGGTATAGAGAAAAGAGCCAGAAATTGGTAACTTGAAGGTATGCTGCGTCGACCTCCTTTAAAAATTGGTGTGATGTGAGCCTGTAACAGCTTAGGTTGGTTGGTTAAGAGTTGACCCCAAACAACCAAGCATATGCCAAAACAGTATTGTTCAAGTATTCATTCACTTCCTTGTTTTGTATAGGCGTTATATTCCCTATTATCTTATATTGAATGTTGAGAGCCTTTGTTTGTCTGAACAGGTAATCCCACGCTCCACTGTTACCGCGCTGAGATCGAAATAAGGACCTATTCACTACTTCTCTGGTTTCTTCTATCAATAGCACGAGGGTTACTTTAAGGCACGAAATTGGTGAGCCCTTTTTGAACACAAATTTAACCTCATTTCTGTTATTAACATTTTTTTTACTTAATCGTAAAAGTAGACCTGATTATCCGTAAACTAATTTGAGTATATAACTAGTTTATTCCGTATTATCTTAAGTTATTCGTGTTATAGTAACCACTTTTTGTGCTAACTTTATTGTTATATTTGTCACATACCTCATGTCAGACTCAATAGAAACCCATAATCTGGAGGATTTGTCACCAGTGGAGATAGACACTGTTATGACTACGAAATCTCGACTTCCAGAATTTGATCGTAGTGATCCTGAGTTGTGGTTTGCTCAACTAGAGCATTATTTCACGAGACACAATATCAAATCTGAAGGGATTCGCTATAGAGACTTGTGTTCTATCCTTCCTCCTTCAGTCGCCAAAGAAGTCCGTGACTTGATTTTAAGTCCACCATCACCACAACCATACACCATCTTAAGAAGAGAGATAATGAACCGTTTATCATTATCAGATAGTCAAAGAATCCAAAGACTTTTTCAAGGTGAAACACTAGGTGATCGGTCGCCGTCACAGTTTTTACGTCACCTCCAAGTCTTAGTGGGTGATAACACAGTGGGTGAAGCAGTCCTAAAACAAGGATGGATACAAGCTCTCCCATGCTACGTCCAACACTGTTTGGATGCACAGGATCCTGAAACCTCATTATCTCATTTAGCGCGTATAGCCGACAGAATAATGGAAAGAGGTCCTCCAACTGAATCAGGCACAATAAATCACACGCAAAAAGTAGAATCAGCAAAAGACCCCGTCATAGAAGGACTCATTGCGAGTGTTAAGAGTCTCACTGAGGCTGTCACCAGAATGCAAATGGGTTATAGAAACAGGAGCAGGTCACCACAACGACCACGATCCAAGTCACAAATGTCCAGACAATCTGGGCAGTTTTGTTGGTACCACTGGAAGTTTGGTGTCAACTCAACCAAGTGCATGCAACCATGCGCCTGGCCTAAGCATAATTCTAAGACAGCGGGAAACGAGTAACCCCTCCCCAGGTCGCGACGACTGAGGAGGGGTGCCTAAACAGTCGCTTGTTTTATGTTAGAGACAGAAACTCGGGCTTGAATTTCTTGGTGGATACTGGCGCTGCTCTTAGCATCATCCCTCAAAATAAAACTGAGATTAGTCGAGAAACATCATCAATTACACTTCAAGCTGCAAATAAAACTAAAATCGCGACATTTGGGCAGAAAACTTTAACCCTAGATTTGGGGTTCAGGAGGCAATTCCCTTGGGTTTTCACAGTAGCCGACTTAGATCTGGCAATACTGGGGATGGACTTTCTAGAGAGATACGAATTTCTAGTTGACACCAAGAAACGGCGATTAACACTAAAAGAAACTTCGTATTACACAAAAGGCAAAGAAAGTCACATCAGCTCTCTTAACTTGATTCAAACTCCCCCAGTAACAACAGCGAAATTCCAAGATATACTCGCGGAATTTCCAAACTTAACTAAACCAAACCCACAGCCTTCTAAGGACAAACTAAAAGTGAGTCACACTATCAAAACCGAAGGTGCACCGGTGTTTGCAAAACCCAGGAGACTAGCACCAGATAAGCTCAAAATCGCTAGGGCCGAGTTTGATTATATGCTACAATTGGGTATTATCCGTCCCTCTGATAGTCAATGGGCATCCCCTTTGCATATGGTCCCAAAGAAGAATGAAGGTGACTGGCGACCGTGTGGGGATTACAGAGCCCTAAACCGTCAAACCGTACCAGATAGGTACCCAATACCTCATATCCAAGATTTCACCAACGGTTTACAGGGTATGAACATATTCACTAAAATTGATTTAGTCAGGGCATATCACAATATCCCAGTGGCTGATGAAGATATTCCCAAGACAGCTATTACTACACCTTTTGGCTTATTCGAGTTTGTACGCATGCCATTCGGCCTGAGAAATGCGGCACAGACATTTCAAAGATTCATAGATAACCTACTTCGAGATATGCCATTTGCGCAGGGGTATATAGATGACTTGTTAATTGCCAGCCCCGATTTGCAATCACACGAACAGCATGTACAAGCAGTGTTGAAAAGACTGGATGAACATGGAATAAACATACATCAAAGTAAGTGTGTTTTCGGTGTTCAAACTTTAGAATTTCTCGGTCACACAATAAGCCCAGAAGGGATTAAACCTATCAAAAAAGAAGTGGATACCATCAAACAATACCCCGTACCTAGTTCTCTAACACAACTGAGAAGTTTTCTAGGCCTAATTAACTTTTATCGCAGATTCATACCAGGTTGTGCACAATTAATGCAACCTTTGACAGATTCACTTAAAGGAAAACCAAAAGAATTCAAACTGTCTTCTGACGCCATCGAAGCTATTAAACAGCTTAAAGATAAACTGGCTGAAGCAACTACGTTGATATATCCGAATTCTCTTTCCCCACTTGCTTTGATGGTGGATGCTTCAGATAAAGCAGTAGGCGGTACCCTTAACCAACTGGTTAAAAACGCCTGGAAACCAATTGCTTTCTTCTCGAAAAGACTCGCTCCAGCCGAAACAAGGTATTCTACGTTCGGGCGAGAACTTCTTGCAATCTACCTAACCATTAAACACTTCCGACACATGTTAGAAGGCAGGGAATTTATAGTCTTTACGGATCACAAACCACTAACAAATGCACTTAAAGCGAGTGCTGATAAATACTCACCTCGAGAAGTCCGACACCTTGACTATATATCACAGTTCACAAGCGATATCCGACATGTCAAAGGTCAGGACAATCAGGCGGCAGATGCTTTATCTAGGCTAGAAATGAACGTGCTACAACAGTCCACAGTAAACTTCGAGACGTTGAGAAACGAACAAGAGCAGGATCTAGAATTACAAAACCTGCTTAAAACAAACAATTCAAGTCTTAATTTAAAACAGTTCCCATCACCTGTCGATGGTATTCTAATCTACTGTGACACGACCAAGGCAATCCCGCGACCTTTCGTTCCCAAAAGTATGCGAAAGTTGATATATAATAACTTTCATTCTTTGTCTCATCCTGGCGCAAAAGCTTCAACTAAACTAATCAATGCCAGATATATATGGCCGAATTTACAGAAGGATGTACACAAATGGGTTAGAGAGTGTTCAGCATGTCAACAATCAAAGATTAATCGTCACACAAATTCACCCATAGGTGTTTTCTCGCAACCAGATGCACGTTTTGCCCATGTGCATATCGACTTGGTAGGTCCTTTACCTCGTTCAAACGGTTTTAATTATCTTTTTACATGCATAGATCGATTTACCAGATTCCCTATAGCCATCCCGATAGCGGACATCACAGCGGAAACAGTAGCCAAAGTCTTCATGCAGAACTGGGTAACCATTTTTGGTACACCCATAACAATAACGACGGATAGAGGAGCGCAATTCGAATCCGAACTATTTAATAACTTGGCTAAACTTCTAGGCTCCAATAGGATACGCTGCACTGCATATCATCCTCAGGCTAATGGGATGGTAGAACGTTTTCACCGTCAGCTAAAAACCGCCCTTATATCTCACTCAAACCCCAATCAGTGGACAGAATTCCTACCGTTAGTTATGTTGGGAATACGAACATCTGTCAAAACTGACGCACAGTGTTCAGCTGCGGAACTGGTTTTCGGAACAACTCTGAGACTACCAGGTGAATTTATTAACCCTAATACTAACAGTCAAAAACTTAATTTAGAAAATTATGTAGATCAACTACGGGACCACATGTCTAAACTTAAGCCGATTAATACTCGTGAACAATCGCGCCCCGTATATATACCTAAAGACCTAAGCAATTGCACGCACGTCTGGATAAGATGTGACAAAATAAAAGCACCACTCAGTCCTCCATTTGAAGGTCCTTTCAAAGTCGTCTCAAGAAAATCTAAATATTTCGTGATAGAAAAACATGGAAACATCGACACAGTAAGTATTGATAGGCTAAAGCCGGCTTATCTAGATCATGAACCACCATACGTGTTGTTAGATCGTTTAACTGAAAAATCCATTACGGAATCGAAATGTAAAGATAATAAATCTTTACAAATGACTAAAACGGTTCGCTGGGCACATCCAATTAGTCAGTCAAGGATGTTGACAGTTTCGGCTGCAGGATAAAATCTAACCACGCAGCTAATCACACCCTGCATCTACTTAAAAATATATTTTTTTCATCATTCCGCCTCACCGACAACTCCCCAGACCTTTTACCTTTGATATATACGTGTTATGTTAAATATTTTTTAAAAATACTGGACACATAAGCTAGGTACTCCGAAACGATGGCTGAGGATTTTAATCAAACTCATACAACTAACACTGGCAAATACAACGAATTCAAAAAGCAACCCAGGCGAGTTTTATAATTTCTTTTTCTGGTTAATTAACTATGTTGGCTGTACTTCTTATATATTTATATACATTTCACGTAGACTGGCTATACATATATACCATATGAACTACTTCTAAAAGTTTTCGGTTGAGGATATGTTTAGTAGCTTGACACGATTAATACTACTATTATTAAGTAGTTTTCTAGACAAAACATTTTGGATTAAACCATGGTCAAGTACTTATTAAAATTTTCATCATTTTTTTTCATGTTTAGGAAACTTACGTAATGACTTAACCAGTTTCCCTGCAGCAGGCTTTTTAGTGTGATCATATAACCCATCTTTATTGGCAATATTCAGATTTTTTTAATTTCTGACATTTAAGAATCAATAACCGTGAAGATATAGTACAGTGCGTTACTGTAAGGTTACTATGTCAGCCGCATTGATTCCACATACCTAATTTTAAACACAACTTATAAGGGAACTGTTTAGTAATCATAACATTGAACTGACAATATGAATATCACGACTATGCTAACGTTAAACCAATTATTATTAGTGGCCCATACAAAGTCCTGGAACTTAACATCAGCGTTATAAAAAAGACATTTTATGTCAATAACTAATATATATATATATATATATTCGTTGGTTTAAATATAACGTAAAATGGAAATTTACTAAACTTGTAGTTTTTTTCTATAGTAAGAATATTCATGTAAACAAAGAACTTATACTTTTCCAATATGACACTTTGATATATCAATCTGTCCTCTTGTCATTTTTTCTCTCATATGTGCGCGACTTACGGGCAAC